ATCACAGCTTCTGCAAAGCTGCAGGAGCCTCTTCCGGGGCCAAATGGAATCTTCAGAAGCAAAGTGAACCAGGAAATGAATAGTTCCTGAGATAGAACAAAAAAAGACAGGCAGAAAGGAAGCAAGGAAAATTAATTTTAAAATTGTGCTTTTAAGAAAAGCTATGGCTTCAGGACATAAAAGTTACTCATTCCGTTTTCAAGAAACTTACTGGAAAGAATTGCTAAGGGGCCGAAGGACACACTAAGACTGTAATCTGGGGCTCTGTGCCCGTGTTTTTCACCTGTAAATGGCCCTTTTGGCTGCACACCTTCATCCTCCAAGAAGCCATGCGCTCAGCAGGCCGCACGGCCCTAAGCTTAAAACACAGGCCAGTTATTTGCATCCTAATTGTACCCACCAAAATGGGAAATTGATGAAGGAAAACACGTCCCTCGTCTTGACCACCTATCCTAAAGTCACCCCCAAATCACTCAAATACCTCCACCTCATAATTCACCGCTCCTCTGAAGTCCCTCACTATTCTCTGCATGTGCTTCTTAAATCTGCCGAACAAACCTCTTCATTCTTCTCTCTAACGTGTCTTGAATATTCTTTGTCTATCACAGAAATCAGAGAACACGACTTGTCCCATGGGTAGGTAAGCTGAAGCCAGCAACTCTTCTTTGGGGAATTTCCTCAGACCCTAATCATGCCAATGTCCACTCCTCTAACTGGGTGAGCTGCGCTGTTTCTCGGCTTTGTATTTCAGAGTTTTTGCTGCACTCTTTGGCTTGCCTCCCCTCCCCGCCCCCCTTTCCTTTCCTCATCACCTCTGCCCCTGGCCCTTCTCCGCCACCCCAATGGAACTACAAGACAAAAGAAGACAGTGTCTGGTATTCAAGTGGACAGACAGACGAACTCACACAGACAGCGAATGCTCTTGGTCACAGTCCTGACGGGAAGGGATTCCTACTGAACAGGCTCATGTCTCGCCCCTCCTCATGTAGCTGCACCATGGTGAGGTCACAATGAAACTATGTGACCGCGAAGAGAGGCTCACCTGCTCACTTAGAGAACATATCACGTACAAAACTAGGATACATAATTTAAGAGAAATACTCATTCATTTGTCCACTCAACAAATACTTGGCATACTATATCTTAGTTACTGTTCTAAATACTGATTATGTGATTTCCAGATGGTACAGTGGTTTTATGCAAAACAAAACAAAACACACATCTACCTCAATAGCTTAAGATGAAAATAACGATGGAAAAATCCTTTAAAAACAAAGGTAATTTCTTTAGTTCTTAAAAGCAGAAATAAATCCAGAATGAAATTTAAGATCACTAGCCACAGTGTCCTCTAAATACACTGCAGATTTAAGTCATTCTTAGGGGAAAGGAAATTGTGAAAACTCTATAAAAAGTATAAAAATCAGTTCAATGAATCATGGTTACTTAAATATATGTGGGTGAGGTGATCCACAGAATAGGTTTACACAGGTTTGCTATCACTTATACAAAACTTGTAGTAAATAATGGTACAGTGCAAAAATAACTGGATCTCTCTTTACGTGAATTCTGTTTATCAGGATGTGTGAATACTAGATTATGTATTTTTGAGGGAGCTTACTAATAGAATAAATGTGCCACATTGCTATTTTAAGAAATTTTATACTAAATGGACTGCTTTTAGCATATTCGGAGTTGTAATTTGAAATAATGGCTCATCCAGTCGTGCAGTATAATGAAGATTTTGGCAAACAGTCTCTCTTGTCAGGACTCATTAAGAAGGCACTTATAATCCTGTGCTCATCAAGGAACAAAGAGAGAAGCACCTGCAGTGTAGTGTCCGTGGTCCACTTGCGTCTCTAACTCTTCTCAAAGCCCCTTTATTAGTTCATCTAATTCCAAAATGTTAACTTGCCACTTAAATGCAGATGTTGTATAAATATATATAGTATAAGACTATCTCTCCACTGAATTATTATATTTCATCTCTACACTTTTCTGCATGTACCTTACACTGTAAGTTCCATGGGAAAACCCACATGGGATTTATCTGTGTGTATACACTCACGGTCTGAAACAGTACACACTCAGGGGCAGGCTCTGACTTGGGGCCTTTCTTCCAAGGCTTAATTTAGACCCCATCCATTTGAATGCTCCTCCTCTTCCAACCCACTTGCCTCGTAAGCTCTTGTTCATTTTCTCCTGATTCAGTGAAAGCAACTCTTTAAAGAAACCTTTCCAGAATCCTTTGGCATCACCCACTCCTTGCTTTCTCCTGCGCCTGCACCTACCAATAACTCAAGACCTTCTTTATGATTCCGGGTTCTTATTTCTGACTTAGCAACTATAAACTAATACACTTATAGTAACTTTATGATTATATGTGTCTTAGCAACTATAAACACATATATTCTTCTTTTAATGATGTATTTGTTTACCAACTGTTCGGACTTATGATGGAGGCTTGCTCTTTGGACCAGCCACCCACTTCTGGGACTCAGGACCTGCATTTGGACTTATAATGCAGGAACATGGGTGGCAGTGCAGCCATATGGTGGCTTCTTCCATAGTACTTAGTAGTGTAATTTTGGCTGATTGTACTGTACAGTATAGTACAGTGCTATAATCCCATGTCCTATTATACATTACAGCACTGCATGTAAAAGTTATATAAATAAAAGCAAAGTTAACTAGTGGCAGCTCCCTTGGACCATTTCTTGGTCCTAAATACTTTAATCTACCTACTCTGCATAATTCCTGATGTGGGGCCCAAATTATTTAATGACTTAGTTGCAACAATGGCTACCTTTTGTTAAATGAAGCATGCCTGTATATATTTGCAGTACATACATGTGTACAAACTTTCATACATGGTATCTGTGTATTACACATCTCTTCTTCAACACTTCAACCTTGTTGCAATCAAGAGCAACAGATTACTTGCTAATGCATCTTGGGCTATAATCAACTTTTTGGATTGATGAATATATATTATGATGAGAGATGATTATTTTTCTGCAGTGAGAAATACACATCAAAAACAATTTCTCACTTAGCAAAAAAACTTTATGCGTTAGCTCTATATTAGTGGAAGACAGAAAATACGAATACATGAATGGGTAGATATGAACTTTTAGAGATATGACTCAGAAAATAGAGATTATTTAAATCACAACTTATTTCTTGTTCCAGGAAAAATATTAGCCACCCTTATCTTGCTCATCTTACTTTTTCTAAATCTGTTCATTCTAGTATTTTATATTTTTTGAGTTCAAATTGTTTCCTAAAAATGTTGGACAGCCACTTGTATAGACCATGGTGCTCAAACATCAGAGTGCTACTTTCATGTTAGAACTGTTAAATACTGATTAAAGTACAGTTTTGATTATTCTAGCCTGTTACTGAGTATAAGAATTATAAAAAGTATAAGACATTTCAACATCACTCAGGGGAAAGACTCATTTACAGCATTCACAAATATTCTGGAAGTTGATATCTAGTTCTGTCTGGATCAAACAAAGCAAGGCACACCTAACAAGGAAATCAAAGGCCTTTAGACGGTACATGAAAATATTTTCTCCTACTGCAATGATCTACAGACTATAGAAACTACTTCATTTCCCTTTTTCATAATTCAGCTTTCTCCATTCATGTTCCATTTTTCAACATGTTTCTTACACATTTCAACATGTTTCCAACATGTCTCAGGATTCTATGTTTTCCCTTTTAAAACCAGTGGAATCCTTCCCCAAAAATATTGCTGTACTCTCTACAACTCGAATAACTTTTACCATCTACTTTTGATAAACAAATGTCTCATGTTTAAAAATCATACTGATTAAAAATGATTTGTACCTATGGAACCTGAACTCTATCAATCAAGCAAAAGAAAATACCTCCATTCACCAAACTAATCCTAATATAAATGTCATTTTAAACTTAGAAATCCTAAGTCAAATAGTGTTACCTATGTTTTCAGGTGGTTCATTTTCTAGCTTTACTAGATGTTTTTCTCAGAGTCAAAATATTCAAACAGCGTTTTACCACTCTTCTAAGTTATGAAAGATTAAGACCCTCCTAGTTTTTAAAATATTTTACTCTCCTTTAAATGCTCTATCAGTATGCTGAACACTTCATCCTGATTTACACAAGCCAGGGCTCCCTCAATAATATTAAAATATGAATGAGCAAACATCACGTATATCCCAGGGGTGCTATTGTTTAAAATGCATCTAACAATTCTTGTATAAAAGTAAATTCCTAGAGTGCAGGGACCCCATCCTCATTTTGTTTTGTCACAGTCACTTTGAAGTCCAGGTTTTCCAGTACCTGTGGCATGAAGGCAGAACTTCAACTGTAGCCTTAGTGTTAGTAGCCTGCTACCAGCCTGAGGTTAAATCAGAGCACAACAAGGTTTCCCAAGGGACTGGCTTTCTCAGAGAAATTTCATACACACACAGTCCCCTGTGTGTGTGCATTTATCTATCTATTACATTATCTGTGAAAGTACGCATGATTTCTTATGAGTCTATATTCAATCATCAAGAGGGTTTCTAAAACAGAGCCCCACTGGTGACAGTCATAGTCTCCTGATGCTAATACGATATAGTCTAAAAAAGTCCCAAGTGATAAAAAATAGAGTGGCAAAGGAGATGGATGACTGAAGTCACCAGTCCTTATCTGACTGAGCCTCTGATTCTCTCAGTCCTCAGCCTGTCAGAAAAAGTATCACTTGCAAGATATCACGTACTACGCCCTGACAGAACAGTTAATCAACCCCACAGTGACAGTGACCGTGACAGTGACAGCATCTCTGTACACTTGGGTGGGGGTCAGTCGTCATGACACTGTTTATACTTGCTCTTTTCCTGGGGGCTCCTATCTTCTGCCTAAAGTCACAGAACTGGCAGGTGGAACACAGCTACCAGGTTCAAGCAAGCAGGACTCCCTTTACACTCACGGCACCACTGCCAGCTCACAAAATAGGAGAAAGAGAGCTGTACCCGCAGGAAGGAGAGGTCTCGGTTGTGCTCAATGCTGGTAATCTCCAGGTTGCCCATGACCACCTCACAGTTCTCGTAGTATTTCCGTAAGGCTCGGTATTGCTGTTCCAGGTCCGAGAGAGAACTCAGTTTATTCTCTGTTCCTGCACACACTGCAAAGACAAAAGATACACACGCAGTTACAGAACCTTTACATGACAAGCACAGTGAACTCACTTTCCCTAAAACTATTCCATAACTGTCTACCTCAATCCCCTACATTAAAATATCTCAAACATTCCTGAAAGCAATTGGGTCCCACACTGATAAATGCTTCCACTTTTATATTCCTAAATCTCATGTGCCAGCCAGAGAATGAGAAGGAACGGGTCCTGCAGAAACTCAGTAAGTTCATCTTTTAAGAAGGGGAAACTTAAAAATCTAATTCCTGTGAACATATGATGCATACAAAGGCTCTTGCTTTCATTTAAATATTGTTTTCTTTAGGACTTGTAATTTATTATTGTTTTCTAATAGAGTAACTGGGCAAACGTAAACAAATCACAATCAAGAGCTAGCAGCAATGATTTTGTTTTTAAAAGTGTTTACTGTCTTTGCAAACTAAACTGTTTTAACTAAATTTTTGGCATTCTTATACATCTATAAACCCTGAACAATTCTATGTTTTCAAAAATAAACATTAAACTTAGATTGAAATATTTCCCATATACTACAAACAAGATCGATAATAAGATCTAACACCAAAAAAAGTAATTAAGGGGTCAAGGATTCAGCTCAGTGGCATAAGCACCTGCCTGGAAAGTACAAGGCTATAAGTTTGATCCCTAGTGCTAAAATAAAAGAAAAATCTAACATATTTATATCAACTGGATAATCAAAGTGTATATTCATGAGTGCTATGAAGTATAATAGACTAATGACAAATTATCTCCATTTGTCACTTTTGATGGACTTGTCTTTAATTTGTTGTGGTATGTTAGTATACTCATTTATATGCATTTTGTTTTGTGTGTGTTAATCTTTTTGTCTTCTAGAGCCAGAGTTTTAGTTATTTTTCATGGTTTGTATATCTACCTGGTTATCATGGTTTGTTTATCATGTAATATACTGGCTCTAATCTTTGACTACTAACTCAAACTCAACTCTTCAGTATATAAAGATAAAGAAAATGGATTGTAGATTTTAAGTCATATAATGTACACTGAATTTAAGACAAGACACAAAGGACAAATAACTTCAGAGACCATGAGACAAAATAAACATTTTCTCTTTTCAAATTGACTACCTTGAGTATTTGATATAGTACCATAAAGCTAATGTAGTAATATATTTGGAAAAAAATGTCTGTAAATATAATCCAGTTATGATGAGGTCATTAAGGTGAGCCCTAATCCAATACGATAGATCTCCTTTCAAGTACAGAAAGATAGCATGTGCATGCAAAAGCCCTCCAGCTAAAAAGGCATCACTCAGTGATGCTACTGTAAGCCAAGGAATGCCAAGAGTGACAGCCACCACCAGCAAAAGCCAAAATTCTACCAGGAGCCTCAGAGAGGGTGTGATGCTGCTGAGAGCTTGTTTTCGGATTCCAAATGCTAGAACTTAATGGAACAGACTGCTGTCACCTTAAGTCACTGAACTGCGATAACTTAAGACAGCAGCTCCATGAAAACAATATACAGTCTTTAGATGATTTTTCTCTGAATTTTCACACTAAATGTTAAAAATTAATCCTCTCTCTCTCCTTCTAGAGTCCTATCAGTTTAGCATTTCCTACCTGCCCTCCCTGTTCTCTCTGCTGACTGCCCAGTCCCTCAGAGACCACATGAAAACCCATCTTTTAACCTTTCAGAAACCAGTTTTGACCATGGACTGACTCCTCTTAGAATAAAGCCAAATTAAACCTCTCCTTTAAAAGTTGCATGTTGGTTATTGTGTCTAATGAAAGGAAAGCTGGCAAGCACAGTCACCTGAAACAAAGATTACATTTTTGTCTCCTTGGAAGTTAGTTTGCCAAAAGCACTAAACTCTAGCATGTTGTGTGAAGCTGCCCAGAATATTACTTAAATTATAGTTGTCTCACTTTGCCTCCTTTATGCTTTCATCCATTTTTCTGCCAGGAATGGGGATACGAAGCTAAAGAGATGCACCAGCATGCTGGCCCAAGGTAATGAGGGCAGAGAAATAAGCTAAAAGTAGCAAGCTCCACTTTCCTATTATCATTAACAGCAAGACAGTAGGGATGTTGGTCCTACTGGCCAAAACGCTACACATAGGACGAATGATCATTAAAGCCTAAATAAGTTATGCGCTCTACATCCTAAGTGACTTTAGTTACTCTGGCTGGTCTTGGGGGGTTCTCAATTCATAATAAAACTAAAAATTCATTTTTGATCATCTGAACATTTTATTTCTTCTGTAAAGTTTATATTATTAAAATTGACAATTAAGAAAAAACAGGCTAGGTGTGGTGGTACACTCCTGTAATCCCAGTACTTGGGGGGCTTAGGCAGGAAGATTGCTGCATGTGAGGCCAGATTTGGGTAACATAGTGTGCTGAGGCCATCTTGAACTACAGAGTGAGACCCTGTTTCAAAACAAAAACACTAAAATACCAAATTCTTTTGTGAACAATGATATTCAACACAAGCAGAAGGACATGAAACAACTGATTCAAGTACGTATTCCTTATCTGTCAAAATCTACCTCTAGGATTTTTTTCATTGGGGATTGGAGGCTTCTTGGAAAACCACTTAGTTTTCTATTCTTAGGAATAAAAAAAAAAAAAAAACTCTCTATAAACGTACAAAATGTCTTTCAAGAAAAGGCATTATTGTATGATTTTACAATATACAGATTTTATTTATTAAATTCCAAAGTGAACAAACTTTTGTGTCATTCTAAAAACATAACCAACGCTACCTGGCAACTCTTGTATAATTTATGTTTTACTAGCTTCTTTCATTTGAAAATAAAACCCACACTTTAATATAAGACACTAAAAACTTACCATGTAATCACCTACTTAAAAGACATCTAAAATGTGTAGTGTATTCTAACCTTCGCTATAAAAACTGAGACACACTTTGGAAATAAACTTTATTAGTATACTTATAATATGTAGGTATTGTTTAATGTTTTTCATTTTCCATGTAAGAAAAAGATACATGAAGTTATTCTGAATATAAATAATTTTAAGTTTGTGGTAAATTCTCATTGTTGATGTTCATTCAAAAAAACATTATTTATATTCCTAATGGACATAGTCTGCCCTAGATTTTACTACTAGGCTATGTATAGTATGTAATACCCACACAATGTGACAAGCTCTTTGAAGACAGATACAACATATTTATCATTATTTTGTGCCTGCTGAGCTATATAGCACAATGCTTTCCAATACATTATCATTAAATAATCCTCATTTATTTGATATTACAGTAATTAACATTGGTATTCAGAAACTGATCTTCAATTCAAAAAAGCTTCCACTATTTCACAAATGATCAGCGGTGACTTCTACAGACCTTATAAAAGACGCAAAATTAGAATAATTATGTTTAGACATATTTTTCAATGAAATTAATATCCTCCCATAAACAGAAAATCTGGCTAAGCACAATGCTTTATTCATCAAACATTCTAATCTTTGGAGTCTTTCCTATAGATTGTTCAATTTAGAAAATGCTTTTTATCTCAGTAAGGCTTCCCTTTGTATTTATGTCTGATTCAAAAGTATCTAGAATCAATAGTGCATTCATCATAACTTTTATCTTGAAAGACAGACTTGATTTTTAAAGAATTAGTTTGAACAAATGCATAAAAATCATTTGTAGTTCTCTTCATGAAGCCTCCCCGAAACCCTCACAACTTCCATTTGTCAATTGATTTTACAATCAGGCAATATATACAAGACAATGCTTAAGCCATCAAGGTTCATTGATTTCACAAACCTGTTTATCAAAACAGAATTGAAAAATCTTCTTTAACAGCCAAGACAAGTTTAACAGAATTCAGCCCCCATTATTGTAAACTCCTTAAACTGTAAGCTTACAATATTTTCAAAAACCCTAAATTTACATGTGCTCCCTGGAGTTCCCATTCCAACTCTAACTCCAGGAATGAGGCTACCCATGAAGCCTTCATAAAACCACCAATTATTCTATTTAGTACTGATTCAGCTACAAATGTAGCTATCGTTATAAAAGGCACAGCCTTTTATTCTTATTAAGATTTACATCCAAAGTGAATAAACTATATATTCCTCATTTTGTCAAAAGATCAAGATTTAGGAGTTTGTTGCAAAATAAAAATGTTGATCAGCACATTTATTCATTTGCTTCATCCTGAAAAGAGAAGCAAATGATGAAATGTTATCCATACTAATACAGAAAATCAATCTCTGCCTCCAAGCATTGCTAAGGCTATAAAACCAGTACTCAATTTGCTTACAAAGGGAAAAATGAGGTTAGGAGGGGAGAAAGGAAGGAAAGCAAATTTCTGCCTTACACCGCAATCAGAATGGCTATCAGGAAGTGTAAACAAGGAAGTGTACAATTATTCCTTTAACAACTACTATTCACTTTATTTATTGGTACAAGGAAAAATATTTATTGGTACAAATTTGCAGTGTTCTCTATAAAAGCTCATGCAGTTCTACAACGCAAAGAACAGAGTGAATAGTGTACAGTATACCTAAGCTAAGTATATATGGTGTGTGATAATTCAGAAATTGCCTGCATAAAAACCACCGGTAACACAGTTACCTAAAGAAAGAAGTAAACAAACTGATGAAATAAAATTTAATTGTTTTATGCAACTTAACACTAATAAATACTTTCCTTTTCAGAAATTTTAACATAACAAATGTGCTTAATATGAATGCAATTTGTAGAATATTTAAAACCTAGAGCTGCGGTAAATAGAGAATATTCATATAAGAAGCAACTAACATTTTCGATTAGTATTACCGAGTCATGTGTAAGCTATGTGCAAATGGTGAGTTGGTCAGTATTGGGTTTAAATGGGGTCCAATACGCTACAGTCATTTAATCCAAGCCACTGCTATCTTTCTCCCCAGGTTCTCTATCACTTGCGTCCCAATTCATTCTCCACACAGAGACTAGAATTATCTTTAAAAAATATAATTTGT